ATTATCCTCCAAAGCTGAGATCTCACACTTCATAGCCTCAACCCATTTGGCATCTTTGACAGCCTCATTGTAAGACTTAGGCTCCACAATGGCTGAATAGGCAGCTAAGGCAGCCCCAAAAGAAGAAGACACATTTGCATAACTAATACAATCTGATATTGGATAACAACAATGAGCACTTCCTCTACCAGGAACAATATAGTCCTTCATCTATATGGGTGGCCTGCTGACCCTAATGGATTTTCTTGTGGCATCAAGTAACTCAACATCAGGAATAGAAGCATCATGGACTGTGGAATCATCAGTAGCAACAGGAGAGAGAGGTATGGAAGGACCAACTGAATGGGGAGAAACAGGAGAAGAAGGAATAGTGGATATAGGTTGGAACTGAATGCCTGCAGGGCTACTTGATGGAATAGATGAAGCATCTAAAATAGGAAATAAGGAAGAGGAAGAAGAGGTCAAGTGCTGAAAAGGGAAGATATCCTCCAAAAACACCACATCCCTGCTGACATGAAACTTCTTTGTGTGAAGACCAAACATTTTATATCCTTTTTGTGTAGCAGAATAACCAAGAAAGACTGCAGGATATGCCCTAGGAGCAAATTTGTCAAGTCTTCTAACTGTGGTGACATAGCCTAAGCAACCAAAGATTCTCATATGTTGTAAAGAAGGTGAATGCCCAACCAGAATCTCAAAAGGAGTTTTTTTGTGAAGAACAGTTGAAGGAAGTCTGTTGATGATATATACAACAGTACTTACACATTCTCCCCAGAACCATAGTGGGACTGAAGCTTGAAATCTGAGTGCTCGAGCAACCTCTAGGATATACCTATGTCTCCTTTCAGCAACTCCATTTTGCTAAGGAGTATAAATGCATGAACTCTGGTGTATAATCCCCTGAGACTGTAATAATTCTGACATATGAGAATTGAAGAATTCACACCCATTGTCAGATCTGAAAAACTTAATAGATGTTGAGTATACATTTTTAATCATAGTAAAGAAAGACCTTAGAGAAACAACAACTTCAGCTTTAGTAGGTAGGAGGAAAATCCATGTATACCTAGAGCAGTCATCCACCAGGGTCAGAAAATACCTTTTTCCATCATAAGTAGGGACTCTATAAGGCCCCCAAACATCAGCATGAAGTGTATGAAAGCATGATTTTGAGGATGTAGAACTGAGAGAGAAAGGTAGTCTTGTTTGTTTAGCTAAGGGACACACTGTACAATGTTTGTCTTTACTACTACATTCAATAGACTGAAAATCATAGGAACCTTTTAGTTTCTGCAGAGTATCTAAGGGTGCATGACCTAATCTCTTATGCCACACAGCTATACTCACTACCTTATTTGGAACCTTTACTATATTTACAGAGTTTATTTTCCTTGGGCTATTCAGATGTCTGCTACTGAATCTTGATCTTGACTTTGTAGTGCCACTGTCTTCTTTGGAGTAGATTTGAACACATACAGTCCATCTTCCTCTCTACCAATCCCCCTCACCTGTCCACTGAAGAGCTCCTGGAAAATGAAGAAATCAGGGAAGAACATAACAACCCATCTCATTTCCTTTGTGAGCATGGACACAGATTGAAGGTTGTATTTGAAATCAGGAATATACATCACATTAGACACTATGAGGTCTTTTAGGAAAGCAACAGACCCTATGTGACTAACATGAGTAACACTACCAGTAGGTAAGTGAACTTTTCCACCTTTGCTATCAACTGATTTAGCATTAATCAACAAACTAGAATCATTCACCATATGACTTGAAGCCCCTGAGTCTACAATTAATTTTGTCAGAATCTTAGTAATATCACCACAAAATGGCATACCTGCTGCCATAGCAGACCCACTACACCCAGGTTGCTTTCCTAGAAGTTGCAAAATCTGGTTGTACTGGTCTTGAGTGAACTGAGAATTCCAGTTTGCAAACTCTGACTTGTATGCGGAATCTACTGCACCTGTGAGACTCCTGCAAAATTAGTTGTAGATCCTGCTTGTGCAGGGCTAGTAAAGCTATCAGACACATAGTTGCCAGCATTGGCCTGAGCATAGTTGATTGTATTACCAACTCCACCCTTCCTTTTAGACTTAAAGTCTTGTGGATACCCATTCAATTTGTAACAAGTCTCCCTAGTGTGGCCTTTGAAGATGCAGTAGTCACAATGTAGGTTGTTTCTCTTAGGTTTATAGCCAGAATTTGAGTGATTTCCTCCTCCAAATTGACCATAACTAGCACCTGCATTCCCTTTGCTACTAAACAAGGTTGTCATCTTATTCCCCACATAGTTGTGATTTTGTCCAAGGTTTCCTCTTGCATTCAGCTGAGTTGAAGCTCCTGTTGGTGTTCCCTTGTTGCTGAAAAAGGTTGTACCTTCATTAAGTTCAGAAACTTGAGAGGACTGGGACAATGCTCTTCTACTTTCTTCAGAGATAATCATTAAGTAGGCCTTGTTTATGGAAGGTCTAGGAGACATATTCAAGATCTGATTGCTTGATTGAGAGTATGTTTCATTAAGACCCATAAGAAACTGTAACAACCTTTGCTACTCAAAGTGCTCAACATATTTCTTCGATTCTTCACATCCACACCCAGGGTAGGGCATCAAACTCTGCCCATAGTTCCTTCAATTTTGAAAAATAAGTAGACACAGAAGATAGTCCTTGGGCCAGAGTTGCAATTTATTTGTGCAAATATAACACTCTAGAACCATTGACCTTATCAAATGTTTCTTTGAGATCCATCCACACTTTGTGTGCACTAGAAGCATAGACCATGCCACTTAGCAATTCAGCACTCACAGAGTTCATAATCCATGATAGAATTATAGCATTACATTTTTCCCAAAGTTCATGAAGAACAGGAGGGAATTTTTCTTTCAGATATCTTCCATCTATAAACCCTAGCTTACTTTTGCCTAACAGACTAACACGCATAGTACTACTCCACAAGGTGTAATTCTCAGGTCCTGTGAGCTTGACAGAGATGAGAGAACTACCTGGAGTGTCACTTGGTTGGAGAAATAGCGGGTGATGCTGATCGATCACCGGTGCAATCACTGGTGCTGCAGCTACCTCTTCATGAGTCGCATTATCTTCTCCAGTAATCGCCATTGCCAACAGAAATCTAGATTGCACAAAGTCAATTGCTCAAAATCGATCTAACCCTAAGTTTGGGAATCGAAGCAACTGCTCATGCTCAAATGAGTAACTAGTAGAGAGAATTAAGGAAGATGAATCTAGAGTTAGATTCGAGTGATATAGATCATTAACTCAAGCTCTAATACCATGATGAATTCTAGATTTAACTATGAGCTATGGCGATGAAAGCTAGAAATAGGAAGAAACAGATGGGAGCAAACTAAGCTGTCATGCTCTGCTTTCACGCTTAACTAATAAATGGAAGAGTACTGTACATTTTATACTAATCCAACTACTTAACTTCCTAACAATCTCTAACTACCACTAACTTATTAAATATAATTAGCTGTACACAGCTGTCACTAATACTTGATTCAACAGAACTCATACTCCACGTGGCTCATGATATGGTATCAGGTATAAAGACAAGGTTTCAATATTTATAAAAATTCCGCAGCAAGGCTTACTTCATTGGGGAGGGAGGGGGGATTGCTAAATTGTGGCGATTTATATATGAGGTTGAAACTCTATTATACATTTGTCTTGTGACATTTGTGAGAATCCCGCAAAATAATTTTTTTTTGTGGCGGTTTAACCCCTATTATATATTTACTTTTGTGGCGCTTGTTCCCACCACAAATTATTTGTATTGTGGAGGTTTTAATTTTGGCTATTTGCGAAATCATTGCAATTCGATACAATTTGCGTCGACTGTTACTAACTCGTGCAATATTTAGTTTTTCCATTTTTATTGTTTTTGGAAAATTGAATCAAATTGTACATTTTAGTTGTAATTCTGCAAACTGATATAATTTATGTCAATTTCTAATCCTTGTAATTTTATGTCCTTTCTTCCTCACGTTCTTCCACTGCAAAAATAAGATCCAAAGACAGAGGTTTTCTATTATCTCCATGTCTTACTCACTAGTTTCTTTAGTCTTCGCGCATTTCTTTATTTCATATTTTCGTCTTTAAGTAAAAATTCAAAGGCTTATATTTCTTTTCTTTCTCATTAGTTGTCACTTTTCAATATTAAGGATATTGATTTTATTATGGATGTGGGAGATTCACTATTACAAAGAAAAAGGCATTAGTATCTAAACAGTATAACGAAACAAAAAATACGTGTCATGGAAAGGTCATTTTATAAAAAGAAAATTAACTGGTATAATGACGGATGTTGTTATTGGTAAATACAGTTATAGAAAGGTATAATATAACATACAATTTTAATTTCAAAGATGAAATGCAGTCGTTGTGGGAGTTTTAGAATCTCACAGAAATGCTTGTGGCAAACGTAACAGTGGCCTTTTTTTAAAATCCCACAATTCATTTTGTAAAAACCGTCACAAATCGTAAAAATAATCCCACAAAATGAGCTGCTTCTTGGGCCATCTCGACAAACGATAACGTGGGAATTCTTCCCTTAGTATTATCTTGACTTAAATACCTTAAAGACAGATTTTGACCCTCACTACAAAAAAACGTAGTTATTACGGCGGTTATTTTGACATATAATGGCGGTTTTCAACCGCCGTAATATACATTAACGGCGGCTTTTAAAAGCGTCACAATCCCGTCCGCCATTATATTATGGCGGTTCTGGGCTAGCCACCGTAATTACGTTTGGAAACCGCCATAATTTGTTGGGGTTAATGCGGCATTTTGGTTAGCGTATTCTGGCAGTTTTAAACCGCCATAGTGGCATTGGGAAAACTGGTTCATTAAATCCAGTATCCATCCACAAATTTTTTTTTTACATTTCCAATTCTATTTATTGAATGCTATGCTTTGAAACTTCTATAACACTTCATAATCATTTTAATTAAACCAATATACAAGATTAAATAAGAAAAATATTCATTATATAAAACACAAGTATACCAAAATTATATCATCAAAATATTAATGTTTCAAATTGCATTTTTTTTAACATTAATATCCACAAGATTCATAGTTGATCCTACAAAATAATCACTAATTTGCACTTGGACCATCATCATTGTTACTTTCATCTAAAGATCTTCTTGGTTCAAACTGTTGATGGTTCACCACTTCCTAAATCTGGTGCCTGAAAAAAAAATACAGTCAATAAGCAAACTAAAATTTTGAGCTGGAGATGGGGTAGAAGGAGAGTCTGAACAATCTGGTGCTTTATTTCCACCTCCATTTTTCTGCTTATTTCTATATTTGTGGTGTATTTTGCTCTTATTGGTATGGTGTTTCCTAGCCTCAATTGATACCATTGAAAATGCAGTGAAGAAAATAAGTAAAAGAACTGTTAGAAGAGGAATGGTTCTACTCCAGGTGGTTACTAGTTGGAATTTGGAAGTAGTGAAATACTGAGATGAGGTGGTTTAGCTAAAAACTTAATGTAGTAAGAGAACTTATACCTGTGGAGGAGTGGAAAATAAGTGAGCACTCCTCAAGGACATTCCCTATGTTCCTTTCATATAAGCTAATTAGTGCATTTAATTTTGATTTCACATCTGTCATCTCTTGTTGCCACTCTGGAGTTGGAGCGGTAGTGCTAGATGAACCCACATAACCATGATGGTATATCGCAAATGTATGTTTGAATGCTACAGTTGGAACTATACCCATGCCTAAACCTCGAACACGGCCGGGGTGCTCGGGACCGAATACTATGCCAAGTGCATCATTGGGTGAAGGTTCGTCAAGATTTTCTGCTCTTTGACTTCGAATTTCTTCAATTCTTTCCTACAAAATTTGAAGAAGCATAAATTAAGCAATAGATCAAATGTCATTTAGCTTTCTCATTATTATCATCACTATAAGGTAATGACAAAGTAGCTTTCTGAAACATCCTCATCTACTATACTTTTTATTTGTGGAAAATTGAATAAGTACTAAAATTATGGAAGTTTAGCTAGTTATACTACAATATGGGGTCTTTTATGTCTTGATTGGTCCTATATTTCAAGGCTATGGATTGTATTCAGAAAGCAATATAAATTTGATTCTATTGGTCGACGGAAGTGACTTGTTGCAACTCCCCATCTGCTTCTTTTGATATGCTATAATATGAATGAGCATATTCCAAATTAAACAGTAAAACAGCACCAATAATTCAGCAAAAAGACTTCCTTTTTTTTTTTGGAGATGTCCTAATGAATCCAAAAAGACTTGACAGAAGCTGAAACTCAACTACTCAGTTGTGGTCCAAATTAATTTAACAGAAAATAACAGAAAAAATAGACTAAAAATAAAAGAAAGAAGTAATGAAACCATTAGAACAGTAATGTTTTCTAATAATAGCAACCGTCCTTCTATTGTCCTTTTTCTAGTAATAGATTACTATTTTTATGTTATCTATTCAATTGACTGAATAAATAATAGATTATCGGTCTGGGGAACAAAAACTAGAACAGAATTGGGGAAATCGCTACACTTCCAAATACGCATGAACCCTAATAAAGAGAAAATAGCTTTTGGTACTAAATATACATTATTACCTGAAGATTATTGAAGCTGATACACGAATTTTATGTACTTTTTGAGATTTGAATCTCAATTCTTCTAGCCAAAGAAACAGATTAGGAAAAATAGAAGAAACTGAAGTTAGAAAATTTGGAGTTCGTCGCCTATTGATGAAAATAGACGGAATGGGGGAAAGAATTGGGAAAATAGAACGAATGGTGGTGGTTGGGGGGGGGGTGAATTGGGGAAATAGAACGAATGGGGGGAAAGAATTGGGG